ACGAAGACGTGATTCAGTTGATCGCGGAAAGCCGACCATGAACGAGCTCCTCATAGAAAGTTGTGCTGTTGTGAGTTCAGTTTTTGCTGCTATTTTAGCGCAGAGAATGAAGCAGATGGTGGAAATGAAAGGAAAACGGAAGAAAAGGCGATGGTGGGTTCAGAAGTGGATTCTAAAGAGGAAATTAGGGCCACATAATTTGGTTGACATGGAACTCAGAAATAGTTACCCAGATGATTTCAAGAACTTACTACGAGTGTCTGAAGACCAATTTGATTTCCTTCTGGAACGCGTTTCACCACTGGTCGCAAAATCAGATACTAATATGAGACAATATATGACAATAACTACTCCTCAAGTTTTTAAATTTTGCCATCACCTCCTTTGGTCCAAAGCCAGGAATTGCGAGCGCATTGGAAATTCTCTTCGCCGCTGCCATTCTCACGTCTCTATCTCTGTAACTTTCCATGCTTGCATCATACAGCACTGGTTCATCTGCATATAATTCCAAAAACCGCACAGTTTCCCTTTCTTGTAATTTTATGACCCGATCCGGTGTAGACATGGTAGAGGCAAAATCACGACTGAAAATCAAACATGTCTGATACGAAGATTGAGCCCTCACTCTTGCCTGTGACGTCATAAGATTTTCCACGACGCTTCGTTCACATGGGTCGTACTCACGAATACCTGCCTCACGCTAGCGTGTCACGCCCCGTGGAAACGCGCCCTTAGATCGCGCGGCCGCTGCGATCCCTAAGCAATCCCTGTATCAGACCGTGAAGGTCCGTAGGGTTGTGAGACGTCGAGACTCCCACATTTTCTCTAGACAGTCGGCTCACAGATGGCGGTGAGGTCAACCTTACGCGCCGCCCGCCCTTTACCCCCCAGGAAGATTCCTGGTACTCATTTCTGTTAGAGGCTGAGTCGACCTCAGTGCCATAGTGCGGCTGGAGGATTAGATGAATTGAAAAGTCTCGAGGCCGCGACCTTCCGGCTTCTAGCACAGTGCCTCAACCAACGACGCTACCACGTACCCCGGTCACTGTGATCTGCAAGGTATGTAGTTATCAAGTATGACTGTGGATGGATTCGATATGCCTGTAACATAACAGTGAACTTCGTGTGATGTACAGATCGGCAGAAATTGTTTTTTTTTCAATGGCTCCTCCAGCCCATTCAGGGCCCAGACCCCTTGATCAGTTGCGTAATCATTTTTCACAGACCGCAGGACCTCTTGGAAGAGTGATCAGTTCATCACAAGGCCTCTACCTAAACACCGGACAACGCAAACACAGAATAAACGCATAAACACACCCCAAACATTCATGCCATGAGTGTGATTCGAACTCACGATTCTAGCATTTGAGCGAGCGAAGACAGTTCATGCATTAGACGGCGCGGCTACTGTGACCGGCCGGCAGAACTGAGGGAGGTGTCGGCAGGCTGGAGAGACGAAGCCGTACAGGGATAGAACTTCTCAAGCAAACATCCGCGCTAATTTGGATTTGAAGCACTTCGGGACTTCGAATTATTGGGGCTGGTTCCGGCGTTATCACGTTTGATTGCTGTTAGAGCTTCAGTCTTATCAAAGGCATGCATTGTTTTCGTAGGGAAACCTCTTGGAACGTCGACAACGAGCTAGGAGGATAACATTAAGATTAATTTTAGAGAACTAGATTCTGAAGATGAGAGGCATTGGGACTAACTCGGGATGGCGTCTATTGGCGGAGTTCAACTTTCAGACTTTTTTTTATTGCTACTGGGGTGGCACTAAGTCCCTTGTACTGCGGCCACTTCTGGCCTGTTGTACCAGCCCCAGATGATAGGTGAGGGTGATTGTGGAGCAATTGGTGGAATGAAGATTGACAGGGGAAACCGAAATACTCTGAGAAAACCGGCCCCAGCGCCACTTTGTCCACCAGAAATCCCACTTGACGAGACGAAGCCAGCGCCTAACCGCTTGAGCTATGGCGCGGCCCAACTTTCAGACTTACTAACAGAAAGCTCTTGTTACGTAGTTCTGATGTTCAGCAGTACGGAGACTCAACTCTCATATTGGCCGCGCCATAGCTCAAGCGGTTAGTCGCGGCGGCCCGGGTTTGATCCCGGGTCTGGTCAAGTAGGATTAGTGGTGGACAAAGTGGCGCTGGGGCGGGTTTTCTCCGAGTACTTAGGTTTCCCCTGCCAGTCTTCATTCCACCAAATTCTCCATCATCATAATCACCCGGAGCAGGCCACAATAGGCCAATCAGTGGCCGCCGTGCCGAATGGACCCAGTTGGACTCCACCCCACCACTAAGCGAATCTAAAAAAAAGAAACTCTCATATCGAAATATGGCATTAGTGAACTGAATTTGTTGTGATGATAAAAGTTATATCGTAGCGTCAGCGCAACTTCTGTGTAGATGCACTCTACGTTGTCTGCTGCATGTTTCTGTCGTTATCAGCTGTGCAATTGAATGTCAGCTGCCTTCCTGCTTACATTAGGCAGTGTCCACAGTGGGCTATAGTCTGTCGGTTTGGTATATTGCGGTATCATGCTACCATATAAGTCCTTGTTAAAATGTTAAAAAGATTTTTAGAATGCCGTTATGTTTAGAAGTATTTTTGTTCTTTCTGTAGGTATATATTTACTTCAGTTTAGGTTTTATTGAGTTATATTGTGAAGCAATTTTTATATAAATATTTTGTTCTCTCCACATACACACACACACACACACATATATATATATATATAGTGTTTGGGACTTTGTTGAGTTATATTCTAGAGCCTTTNCGTCCGTGGTTATTTACAGTGAAGTACTATAGATGTATTATGCCACGTCACCCAATATAAATATGAAACAAAAGCAACAGAGTGTGTCTTCCATTTCGAATAATTTTACTTTTATTATATGAGAATTGAGGTTTTCCCGACGGTGCATATGAATAGTACTTTCATCTGGAAAATGAGGCAGGTTTCTCTGAAACGTTGGTAACTTTTATGAGACTATGGCGTTTGTTCGAGAAGATAGTAGTCCTGAGACTCATTTCATGAAATACAGTTTAAATTATTAGAGGAAATGAGGTAAATAAGGAATACCGTTTCATAAACTGGAAATAAATAAATATTTAAAGAGATTAAGTATATGAAACAGCTGAACTATGAGGACAGATTAACTAAACTCCCAGTTTATCACATTGGACTACATTCACGCAGTACAATTACGTTTTTTTTCCTTATTATTCTTACCTTTCCTGTTTGTCTTCCTTCCTCTATCGCTTGAGACACAAGACATGCCTTGTGCTTGGAATTGCCTTTTCTGGCGCGAAAAACAGACTTGTCTTCAAGGAGCTCTATCTTCGGGGATATAACACCGTGTATACCGTTGAAATTTAAATAACATTTTGGAGGAACATTTCGTCTCCATCTTCAGGGTCGAAGAATAATGAGAGCTTTGCTTGCTACCTATACCTCACGCTGGTTTCTTTCCTGGCTTATTCATGGACTCTGAATTCTTCCGAAATGTCTGTTGACTTTCAACGGACTGCACGGCTTTATATCCCAGAAGACAGAACTCTTTATAAACACCTCAAATCCTACCTGCTTCTCTTTACTCTCGAACTGTACAAAATGATCAGTTCTCTTGTCACGTACGAAACTGTCATTCCTCTCTGCTATCTAACTATAGCTCTACAACCTGTAGGTGATTGTGGAAGGGAGAGCAGCCCGTCGCAAGGCCTCTACCTACATACAGAACAACACAAACAGAATAAACGCACACACATCCATACCTCGATTGGGATTCGAACCCACCATCCCAGTGTTCGAGCGGCCGAAGACTGTTCATGCCACTGTGACTGGCATCGTTTCTCTCTTACGAGACACAAAACTACGATTGTTCTCATGTGTGACTCCAAGTTGCCTTCCATATCGAATTAGTTTCTCTGATTTGAGACAGAACTGCAATTTCACCCGAATAAGAAACACGTGGTGTCACTGTGTGTGAGTTTCAAGGGATACATATGCTCTGTGTGCAGGTGAAGTTGGAAGGGCGGACGCAGTTCCTGTCGGCGGTGTGCATGGCGTGTTTGGAAGGATGGGGTCCCGGGCGCACACTCCGCTGTGTGTATTGCAGCACACCCTGGGACGGTTCGTCCCTCGTGCTCGGCACCATGTACTCCTATGACGTCTTCGCAGCTATGCACTGCTGCCCGGAGCGGTCCAAGGTAAGACACATTGCCACAAACATTTCGCTACGTTGCTGACCGGGAAGAGGCTAACAAGGTGTAGAAGTTTGTGACGGTGGTACATTGCTACAAGTATTATGTTTTTGGACATTATCCATTGTCTTGTGTTTATCTAAAAACCGTCCTGTTTATTTTTCAAAACACACACGTTTCTGAGACAGAATCCAGTCTCCGAAACGTTGTGTTTTGAAAAATAGAGACAGAATTAGTTAAGCACAGAGACAACTTTATTTTTTTTACTGTCTTTAGACACGTGATGCCATATAATCTGATTTGTATTTACCCTTTTCGGAGGATCCTACTGATTCCACCCATCACAAAGATGGAAACAGCAAATGCTGGTCAATATCTACGAGACTACACGGCGTCACATTCAAGAACGCTGTAAGTCACAGTCACCGCCATGAGATTCACATATCTCCCATGTAACGTGACTATTTCTATGGCAATATTTTCTTGACCTCGCAGCGTGGCTCTGCTGCGCATTTCAGCGGCTTCAGTAATGTTATTCCCTCTTTTTCTCCAGATCTGTGATGCATATGGAAGATCAGACCGTGCCATTAGTCTATAACACAATTTTGTTTCGATATTCATATGAGTTGGCTTTCACATTTATTCTTCCATTTATTGTCTCAAATCTTATCAATTTACTGTCTGCATTCTTCTGTATTATTACTGAATTTAAATTTTGGTGCTGTTGCTTTCTGCTGTGAAATAACAAAGGGCTCCAGAAAACTGCACAGAGAGGAGCTTTATGGCTCGTATCCTTCTCCAAGTATAATTAGAATGATAAGCGCAAGAGGGTTTAGATGGGCAGGGCGTCTAGTAAGCACGGGAGAGAAGAGGAATGCATATAAGATTTTAGCGGGAACGCCAAAAGGAAAGAGACTAATAGAAAGATCTAGACATAGGTTGGAGGACAATATTAACATTTAAGAGAAGTAGGACAGTGTGCCGATTGGTCTAAATCATGAACCGTCCTGCTCGAACACTGGGTTGTGGGTTCGAATCCCACACAAGGCATGGATGTTTGTATGCGTTTTTTCTGTGTTTGTATTGTTCTGTTTGTAGGTAGCGGCCTTGCGACGGGCTGTAAATAGATAGATAGATTAGATAGATAGATAAGTAGAGATAGACAGACAGACAGGATAGTGCGATATGGATTGGATTCATCAGTCTCGGGAAAGGGACCAGCGGTGGGCTCTTGTGATCACGGCAATGAACGTCCGGGGTCTATAAAATGTTGGGAAATTCTTGAGTAGGTAAAAGTTTACTTTTGGTTTCTGAAGAAGAATTCAGCTCCAGGGAATTAGTTGCTTTCTGCTGACGAAATGAAATGTTTTCATGGCCATTATTTGGGCAACGTAAATAGTAATGCGATGTTTTTTTTAGCAGCGGGCGTTGTTTATAGAGCCATTAGTTGGCAACGGATTTACGTTCTACAATATATAATTCTAATACTGACGTGGCTCGATCCTCAACATTAGCGTAGTTCACGGAAAGATGATGTCAGGATTGTGGCAGGGGAGGACTCGCATTGGCCGCCTTAGCCTTCACGTCCCCCGCCCCCTCACGGTATGAAGCTACCATAGATGGGTTCGAAGGCAGGAATTAACTGCTTCATCTCAGTTCAGTAATAGGATTTTGAGGAACCCATTATCCGGGATATACTCTGTTCAGAATGGCTGAAAAGACGTACGACATTCATCCTAGCACAAACAAGCAGAACCAGTTGCTTTGGTGATACTGAGAATTGGCGCTAAATAACATAATCATTTATGAGATCAGTAAAAATTAAATTTTACTCTAAGTGACCATCGAGCATAATTTTTTGGTTACCACTACATGTTCGACATATTTGGTAATCCTCTGGTGGCACTAGGGGCCACTAGGGGCCACGCGGTAGCGTAGTTGGCTGAGGCACTATGCTACAAGCCGGAAGGTGGCGTGTTCGATTGCCGACGAGGTTACTGGATTTTTCAATTTACCTAATTCTTCCAGCCAAACTATGGCCCTGGGATGGACTCAGCGTCTAACAGAAATGAGTACCAGGAATCGTCCTGGCGCTAAAGGACGGCTGGGGCGTAAGGCTGACCTCACCGCCATCTGTGAGCCGATTGTATAGAAAATGTGCGAGCCTCGGCATCTCACAACCCTATGGGCCTCCACGGCCTGTTACAGGGATGATTTCTACCTTTACCTGGTGGTACTAACTAACTTCATGGATCTGAGCCCTTCTCGAGAAGCCGCCAACTGTGCAGCTACTCGAGAACTTCCCAGCATCTTCATGGATCTGAGCCCTTCTCGAGAAGCCGCCAACTGTGCAGCTACTCGAGAACTTCCCAGCATCTTATGGAACCCGAAGGTTCATTGCCGTGTTCGCAAGAGCCCTCCACTGGTCCCTATCCTGAGCCATATCAATCCAGTCCATAGAACCCCATCCTGTCTCTCTAAGATCCATTTTAATGTTATCAACCCACCTACGTCTTGGTCTTCCAGTTGGTCTCTTTTCCTCTGGCTTGCAGAAAGTGTGTTTATTGAAGTGGCAATTTCTGTGCTTTATTGAAACTCGGACCAGTGCTTTCATATGTCGCAAGTCTTGACATGCTGTACGTCTTCTGAGGAAAGCAGGATGACGTATTGTTACCGTGAAACTAAGTAATTGCTAATTGTGAATATTAAAAAGTGAAAGCCTCCCTGCAACAGGCCGTGGAGGCCCATATGGTTGTGAGACGTCGAGGGTCCCACATTTTCCAGACAGTCGGCTCACGGATGGCGGTGAGGTCAGCCTTACGCGCCTGCCGCCCTTTGCTCTCAGGAAGATTTTTGGTACTCATTTCTGTTAGAGGCTGGGTCAACCCGAGGGCCATAGTGCGGCTGGAATGATTAGGTCAATTGAGAAATTCACTGACCTCACCGGGAATCGAACCCGCGACCTTCCTGCGTGTAGCATAGTGCCGCAAACTAACTACGCCACCCCGTGGCCCTCACTTTTACCTGTAATTATGAAAATTACCGGTTACATTTGTAATTACCAACGTCTATTGGTAAATGTGATAAAGAGCGTACATAACATTATTGGATGCGACATCTCTTTAATGCATCAATGTTTTTTGAAGACTCACCAAAGCTGGTATATATCAGGGTTACCAACCTCTGCGTTTCGAAGGATAATACGGATTGGTAACCTGAAGAGAATTGTAGGTTTTTATCACATTTACCAATGGACGTTGGTAATTATGAATTTCTCTCTCCCCTCTCGCTCCCGATGTGGAGCGTAGGCTGATTTCTCAGTTTCACGGTCATTTTATAAACGGTAGGGCTCCTTGGGCGGGTGATCAGCTCGTCGCAAGGCCTCTACCTAAACACAGTTCAACACAAACATCCATGCCTTGTGTGGATTCGAACCCATGATCCCGGCTTCCGAGCGAGCGAAGACAGTAAATGTCTTAGACTGCTCGGCTACCGTGACCGGCTGTTAATTATGAATAATAAACAGTAATTACTCATAATTACCTGTGAAAGTGATTATCGTCACGAAATTTATTACATTTGCCGTTTTCTGTAATTCTATATAATTAGTAGTTGCTATTCATAATTACCGGTTTAGTCGCATAATGATCACGAGCGCTACGATTTGTGAAGTGATTATTATAAAGTCGAAAGGTAACAAATTATTAAGTGAAAGGTAAAATGCACGTGCAGTGTATCTGTGTGTTGCGATTGGTATAACTGAACCTAACAACCTAGTTCTTGGCAGAAGAATTACGTAATAATAACATACGTACGAGCACGCTTTCTGCACAGCAGATACTATAATGGTTATGCCACCCTCATTGTTTTGCTAGAATCTAGTTTTAATTACGGGCACTGTAATAAAAATATAAAAAAATATGAGGTCCCAGTGCTTAATTAAGCACCACACCATTAAAACTTATCGGGGAGTTGGGGTATAGATCCACTATACTCGACCTCGGCACTGGATGAAGGTGAGTGGAGAGTTTCAAGCCCCCGCTGCTTTACCCCCAGAGGAAGCTCCCCCGTTACCCATTGTATAGAGGCAGGGTGGGCTCCAGGGCCCGTCTGGACGCTGTGGAGGCGAGGAAAATCTTGCTTCATGTCTGATTCGAATGCCGGTCGTCCAGCCTGTCGCTCTACCGACTGAGCTAGCCCGACCCTAACTTGTGCTGCAATTTTAGTGTAAGGAGGAAGAGATGTAGTTCAGATCACAGTTGTGATACGTGAAACCGCAGGTCTCGAGTAGTTTCTAGAGGGCACGGCCCGTTTCTCGCTTGACGCAGCTGCTTTTTGACGTTTTCCTTTATCTGTGTTCTTATAACAAGAGCATGAGACTGAGACGCGGAACCTGCGTTGTGGTTGGCTACCGACATGTTCTGTTTCTTCCTTTTTAGCTTTGCTTCACCGGTTAAAGAATGCTTATGACGTGAATTGCGCGTTACAGAAATGACAGGAGATGTTGGGCAGAGGCACTTACGTGCTTCCTGTCCACTCGTTCTCCTTCGGATGACTTTGCTTTGAACCTGGTCAGTGTGTTTCTAGTTTTTTTGTTTTGTTTTTATAGAGAAGTTGGATTGGAGGGTCTCAAAAACTGGGGAAGCCAAGCACGACTGCACACTGTGTCTGTAAGGCCATGCCGACGGTTTCGTGTGGCATGTCCGTCGGCAAGGAAGTACGCATTGCGCTCAGTATATTACGTGACAGTTGTGTATGAAGTTGCATGCAGTCTTTTGAAATGTATGCTACCATTAAGCCTCGTAAACATTTATTATTTAGATTTCATGTAGGCATTTTGTCGAATGTACACTCTACAGTCATGCAAGAGATTTCATACAGTACAGATATTCGCCAGTTACAAACTTCCTTCTTTCTGTATAAAGTTTTGTAGTATTTGTGAACCTAAAGAAATATTACGTCAAAATGTAAGTTTGTTATAAATTATAAATTAAATGACTTAAACT